CTGACAACAATCTATTCGGCCAAACAGCTCCATAACCAAACAAAGAAAACGCTAAACCAAGATTTCAATCACATCGAACACAGCTTTGCACACTCACCGCTTTCTATGAGCCTTCCACTAAGTATGTCGCGTGAAGACCAATCGCAGAATTCACATGAAAGCGTAATGTGTCCCTTCCATCAGAATAACAGGCTTATATACTGACCAATACCACGCGCGATATTGAGGTATTCTTCCCCGTGGTTCGTTTTCGGATTTCTGGAATTAAGCCAGAACTCCTCGAGACTGAAGTGCAAAAACGTAGTATGCGAGAGGTAAGAGAGCTGATAAGGTTGAAAAACATAATACTATCCGTTAGTGATAAGGGTGGAAAGTTTATCGCGATTCCTCATCAGTTGGATGTGGAGATAGCGAAAAAGCATCTTGAAGATGCTTCGCTTTATCGCCCATCATCTGAGGAGGAATTCAAAAGTAAATACCGAAAACTAAACCACGAATAGGCCAAAATGGCAAGGGCTGCTGGTTTGAAACCATCAGTTATCTCTCAACTTAAAGTTGCCTTACCAACATGCCCCGTCTTGTACTTACTTATAAAAACTCATAAGTTAGTATCCAGCGATGATCTTGCGTCTAACGATCCATCACTATTTAAGGTTAGACCTATCATTAGCTGCGTAGACGGGCCAACGGACAGGATAACATGGTTTTTAACCTTAATATTTAACCAGTTGTTGAAACACATTCCAGCCCATCTTACGAATACCCAGATGTTTCTGGGTCGTCTACGTACTGCGCAGCCCAACAGCGCGTGCGCGATGGAGTCCTTCGGCGTTACCGCCCTTTATACAAACGTGTCGAATGACTCCGCAATGCAAGCCATATTCGAACTCCTTACACAACATGAAGGAAAAATAAACATGCATGGCTTCAAGATAGAGCAGTTGATGGCACTCTTAAAAGAATGTTTGAGCTGCTCAATCTTCAGATGGTCCGGAAAGTATTACGCTCAAAGAAGAGGGTTGGCAATGGGACAACGACTGGCTCCAAGCCTTGCCATTGCATTTATGTCTAAGGTGGAAGGTCCGGTGACTGATCTATGGCCCCTCTACTGCAGATATATAGATGACCGTTTTGTCCTTTGCTCAACACAGAAGGAAATGGACAAATGCTTCAAGTTGTTGAATGCACAGTCAGAGTATATCAATTTCACCAGAGAGAAACCAAGAAAAAAATGGATCCCATTCCTTAAAAGACCAAATTAACCTATGAGAAAATGGCTACATTACGAAGTGGTACCGAAAGCCAAGTAGTAAACACATCTTGGTTCATTACCTCTCCTCTCACCGCTCTTACACGAAAAGGGCGCTTGTAAAAAACATGTTTCGAACAGCAACCAACGTGTGCACGGAAAGAAAGCAAAGAGAGGAGTACCGGAACTTGGGGCGGCAAAAAGCCATTTCTATTGGCTACGAAACTCTATCTCGGGATAGGTGCAGTGGAAATCCTAGGCCCCCAAACGACAACTCTAGCGATAAAAAGGTTCCGTTTATCCTATCCTTCATCTCAAATGATGTAGGTACAGCTATAAAACGCTGCTTAAGAAGGGCGGGTCTAGAGAATTCGGTAAATGTAGTTGAAATGCCACCGAGTAATCTTAGGCGCCAGCTAGTTCGTAACCGCCTATGTGAAACACAAAATTACATAATTTGCCCTAATGGTAGAGATGGTATTTGCATAAGCTCGGGTACAGTTTATCTGATCACCTGTACGGCGTGCGGAGACGAATACATTAGCGAAACGGGCAGACCCCTCCGTGTCCGCATAAAAGAACGCTTAGTCCGTAAACGTAAACCAAATACCTCACTAGACACGCATAGCACCCAGAGATATAACAGGAAAGACTTTGAAGTACGTGTCACGATTCTCGCACAGGAATCGAGAACACAAGCGCCCAAAACTCTCGAGGTGTTCTGGATTAATTCCAGAAATCCGAAAACGAACCATGGGGAAGAATGCCTCATTATCACTCGTGATATTGGGCAGGATATAAGCCTGTTATTCCGATGGGAGGGGCACATTATAGTTCCATGTGATTTCTGTGCGGTCGGTCTCCACCCGACATACTTAGTGGAAGACTCATAGAAAGCGGTGAGTGTGCAAAGCTGTGTTCAATGTGATTGGAATTTTGGTTTAGTGTTTCCTTTGTTTGGTTATAAAGGTGTTTGGCCGAATAGATTGCTGTTAACTTGACCTTTCCAGGCTCTGAGGAAGGCGAAATCTGCCGAAACGTCAGTTTATTCGTGAATAAAGAATAAAAATAACACCTCGTGTTTGTTCAACAAAAATACGAAGAATTACTTGATCAATGCCGAGGTTAATAGAAAGTTGGTCGTGGGAGTTACAGATGGATGACACTAAATAGATGTCAAGAAGATAAAATAAAAAAGGATAGAGCTCTTGGCGTTAATCAATCCCTGAGGGATGCGCCATGCATTCGACCTCGTTAAGAACCGCTGGAGGTGACTGAATGCATGTCTGTCCTTTACAATGACTCGCGGTGGCCTACCGATGTATCGAACCCTGCTGCTATCCTCCTAGAGAGGTCTGGAACGAATTTGCTGACGCCAGAGGGATGGAAATCTTGGTGACTTTCGGGCGCGGGATCGATCCCATGTGTATTGAAGAGCGCTTATGACCCCTGCGCTAAACGCGCCCCTAGAATAAGCGTTATAGATATACTAAACATGTACCAATGATTGACACAAAGTGTGTGAGCAAGACCGAAACGGTTTTATACGCTATAAGCTTTCTTTAAACTGTGTAAGCTTAACAATTCAAGAGCGTATAAACAATTACTGTATAGGTGAGACCTTCAATGGGTAAACATGGAAAACACAAATTTGACATGAAAAGATAGCATTGAACATTCTACCATAGGACAATCAGCTTACACCTAAGTACTACTTACCGAATAAAATGTTGTAATATAGATTTATCTGCCAGATCGCAGTATTTCCCGCCCGTCACCAGGATGCATTGGCGATGCAGAAAAATCGGAATCGTAGGTCAGCAAACCTCCTTCCGTTCCAATGACTGACGATTTCCTATTGCGAATACTTGGGAATGTCCTGATAGGGCCGTCTCAGAAGACAGGAGAAAATCAATATCGAGAAGTTATTGAAATGTCGCACAGTTCTTCACCAGGTCGATAGAGGAAAGAAGATTGTAAATCTTTGAGCAGCAATCGATTCCGAGAATTTTCATGGACGATGATTAGCTGAGAATGAAACCAGTGAAATAAATGGTGGAATCCACATGACATGTGATGACGGGTCGTCTGAGTATCGAAGTAAGTAGAGTATGATATTAACAGCGGTATGAATGAATGATACACTAGGACAAGATGACGCAATGATGCTCTCGATTACTCGAGAAACAGTTCTCTGCTCCTAAAGAAAAACCATCGCAATTCTCAAGTAAAACACACTGAAAACAGAACTAATACTCTGCGACCACACAAGATTCCCTTCATTGTCGTCTAACCGGCCTTCTGAAACAGATGGAGTAGAATACCACAGTCGCCTTCATCGACGGTGAATTTCATTGACACAGGCTATTTACATAGAGCTTGCCTTGCATAAGAACGCCAAAACTCTTATTATCCCTTGGAGACGGGTAGATTTGCCACTTGGCCTCCCTTACAAACTTTTTTCAGTAAATTTTTGCAAAAGGAAAGTTAAAAGAGTGGTATGAAATGGCACTAAAGTACGTACCATTGAGAATCAATGGCAAGATCCGTTGTATCTAATCGGTCCTGAAAATCTTCCGTCCGTCTGTGGTCTGCAAGTTTCCGTAAAGGAAACCACCTTTTTTCATTGATATGCATTCGTCAAATATGGTGGGTACGGTCCAGTGACGTTTCTCGGCTGATGGTCCTATTTCATTGCAAGAGCGCTTTTAAATATGGGTTTGGTCGGAGTTTAGTGATCTACGCCTTGTTTACGAAATCCATTGATACTTGACTTGATACTTGAACGGCCCGTCCTCACTGGTAGTGCGGGCCCCAGCACAATCTCCACTTTTCGGAGATCTGCTGGTTAAGCCATTGTGCCTCTTTGGAATCCCGAAGACAGCTTGGGCAAAGTCTGCTCCTGGTCGTCCCTATCATAGGCAGTCGCTGCCCGTGTGAATCAGAAGGAGATTTGCCACCTTACGACTAGTTTGATATCAGGATGGTGGTGGATCCTGCTATTGGTTTCCTCTTAGCGGAGCTTGCGGATGGAAACGCCGGTGTTCCTCAGCTTGGGAGGCTGTGCTGGGGTGGTGAATCCCCGGCTGTACAATGCAGGTTGACACACAGGACCACCTTCCAGACACGATGAGGCGGTAAACCGTTGGGAATCGCATCAACATAAGTCTTTGGAAAGAAATACTCCTACTAAGCTAAAGCTTCGTCATCGTATAGAAGACGTCGAAACGTCAGGAGAATAAGGTTGCTTATCAATCTCACATTAGCTTATCAGTGAAAGAAAACATCTGTTGTAGTTTTGTTCTACTCGACCAGTCTTTCACATCTATTGTGCGAGTCCTAGCCCTTCTCGCGTTCGGTTCGTTTCCTCGCATCCATCCTCCACGAATGTCTTTGAAATTTTTGCGTATGGCTTCAGTTTCTGCTTGAAGATTGTCCTCTTCTTCATGATTGTCGTTGAATACTTCTCCAGTAGTTTCCCCCTGAAATCCTTAGATAGCCGGGCTAGTGCTCTCCCACCTTCATTGCAGAGAATGAACTCTTTCCAGATAAGTCCGGTAGGAACTCCTTACTCCGAAGACATGAGAAGCTTGGTGAGCTCAGGTTAAGTAGTAATGTAATGCTAAATGCCGTTTTTTGTTGGAAGTTCTTTTTTCCTTCGACACTTGGGACTCAATGTTGTTCGCGGTTTACAAACGCTGACCCTTCGCCTTATTATCATATTAATCTGCCTAATTTCTAGGTATTCCAAATGTCAGATATTCATGGTAACATAGAAGAATTGCGTGTGAAAGTACGAGCGCTTACTGATGAGCTGAAGAATTATGTTGACGAGTCGAGAAGTTTGGAACACAGTCATGTTGCACAAGGACGGCAGAGAATTGGGAAAATGAGTGATGAAGTTGGTTTGTAAACGTTATTAAACATCATTATTTAGTTGATTTATTATCCGTATATAAAAGGTCAAGGACGAAGCTCTCAGCGTTGATCAATCCCTGAGGGATGTATTAGGTTTCATTAGGCATCGTTGGAGATGATTGAGTGTATATCTGGTTTTTACATTGACTCGCGGTGATCTACCGATGTATCGAGCCAGTGCCGCTATCCTTCTAGGGAAGCCTGATACCAATTTACCAATCCCGGAAGGATGGTGGGCTTGGTGAGCCTGGGGCGCAGGGGTCGATTCCATGTGAATTGCAAGGTGCCTTCGATCACTGCGCAACACGCACCCCTCTATTTCTAACTAGACTTCAAAGTTCTGCTGTGGTGACAAGCTCATCTTTGCCACCTTTTTCATTGTTACCATTGTTTTTTTAAGCGGTACTGCCTGGGATTTCTTTTGTATGTGAGGAAATTCGTTATATTTTCTAAAAAACGGGCTGGACGCATGACATATACCAACGGATTTTCATTTAATTCAATCTTTGTTCATTAAATGTGATCAACTTAAGACGTGTTTAATAAGAGTAGGGCTTTACTTAGGTTGTTGACTCAAATCCATACAGCAGGCTGATGGCGTTGAAACGAATGGGTATTGTCAAGGACTATGAGAAGATTAGAGAAAAGACGATAGCAATCGTTGGGATTGGAGGTGACTATTGTTCATTCCGTTTTTCTCCCTTGTAGGTTTCTTTCGTACCTTGTCCCGTCAGGTAACACAAACCATTCAGGAGTTGGAAGCGTCGTTGCGGAAATGCTAACGAGATGTGCCATCGGAAAACTTATTCTCTTTGATTACGATAAGGTTGAACTAGCAAATATGAACAGATTATTCTACCAGCCTCATCAGTCGGGTCTGAGTAAAGTTGAAGCAGCCAGAGACACTCTGATGTAATTTTGCTTCAGTGATACCTTTCGTAACAAATTATTTCTTATCGATCGTTTCATTCATGCAACAAGAAGACTGCGTTCCTTATGGTCTTTGAATTTCAAATCGCCCTTTTAGGCATATTAACCCTGATGTCATGTTTGAGACGCATAACTACAACATTACAACAGTGGAGAATTTCAATCGTTTTATCGATAAAATATGGTACGCATAATTTCTGAGCATCTCTTAAAACTGAACGTGGTTTTCTACGTGTGTCTTTGTAGTCATGGATCACTTAGTGGTGGGAAAGTTGATCTCGTTCTCAGTTGCGTGGATAATTTTGAAGCCAGGATGACCATCAACACAGTAAATATTAAGTAGCACTCTGTTTACTTCAAGTTTCTCTTGTGTTACTAGACGTCTTAAGGACGGAATTTAGGCGTGTAATGAAAAGAACCTAGTCTGGATGGAGTCTGGAGTGAGCGAGAACGCCGTATCAGGACATATCCAATACATTGAACCTGGCCGAACCGCCTGTTTTGCAGTGAGTACCATTTTGTTTGCGAGAGATTGAAAGCCTGCAGATTCAAATATTAATTTCTTGTTCTCCTTGATCATCATAGTAATTGTTCATTCGATCACATCAACGGTTTCAGTGCGTTCCACCTTTAGTGGTAGCGTCGAACATTGATGAGAAGACATTAAAGAAAGAAGGTGTATGTGCTGCATCATTGCCGACAACAATGGCTGTTGTGGCTGGATTTCTCGTTCAGAATGCACTCAAGTGTGTCCGCAATTCTTTAAATATTTACAGGAGAGATCCCTAAGTAATTATTCAAACTTTGGTAGCAGTGAGTCTTTGGCCTCGTTTTCTTTGCTCAAGTTATTCTGAGGTATTTCACAAACTATTCGCTCAGTCTTAGTTTTGATTTCAGATATCTGCTAAATTTCGGTGAAGTTTCAACGTACGTGGGCTACAATGCTCTCCTTGACTTTTTCCCACGTCAGGACATGAGACCAAATGATCAATGTGGTGACCGATTCTGTAGGCAGCGGCAGAAGGAGTACCAGGTGCACACCACCATCATTGCGTGTTTATTCAGTCCCTGCATATTGTTTAAATTATATGTATTTTAAGGAGAAATTAGCTTCTCAACCAGCTGCCGAGATTGTTACGACTGAAGAACAGGGGATTACCCACGAGGACAACGACTGGGGTATCGGTAAGATATGTTTCGCTGATGTAGACGGTATATGAGCTGATTGGAGTCACACTACTAATTTTATACCTCACCATTTTCGTTTACTAATAACGTAAATAACTTGTCCATCAATCGAGAAATCGGGATTTAGAACTTGTCGATGAGTCAAAGCTCGAGGAAGGGAACACAAAAGCCGGGAACGGTCTCGAGTATGCCTATGAATTACCGGAAGAAAACGAAACTGCAGTTGAGGTTTGTTGGTTACTGATTTTGAACTAAAGTTTAAAGCTAATATAAGCAAAATATCACACCTTTCTATCTCAAGCTGAGACCCGTTACTACATGGTAGTTCTGGCACACGTCCTTTGCTTGCCTATCATGGCGAGGTAGTGTTTTTGTGTATAAGATTTAAACGCAGAGCAAGAGTCTCACTCCTGTCAAATCGACCAATCTAAGGAACTTACAATTTCCTGCTAGAAGCTCCCTTAGGGGTAAACCTTTTCCAAGCATTCTGGGCATCCTGTAAGAATTACCGATCCAAAGTGGTTATATCTGAGGTTGGCATCTACTTAGAAATAACTCTTCACATTCTTGTCGAGTAAACGCAAGGTGTTATTTTATTCTTTATTCACGAATAAGCTGACGTTTCGGCGGATTTCGCCTTCCTCAGAACCTGGAAATTTCGAGTTGACAGCAATCTGTTCTGCCAAACACCTCCATAACCAAACAAAGAAAACGCTAAACCAAGATTTCAATCACATCGAACACAGCTTTGCACACTCACCGCTTTCTATGAGTCTTCCACTGAGTATGTCCCGCGGAGACTAATCGCATAGAATTCACAAGGAAGCGTAATGTACCCCTCCCATCGGAATAACAGGCTTATATACTGCCCAATATCATGCGTGATAATGAGGCATTCTTCCCTGTGGTTCATTTTCGGATTTCTGGAATTAATCCAAAACGCCTCGAGAGTTTTGCGCGCTTGTGTTCTCGACTGCGAAGATCGTGACACGTACTTCAAAGTTCTCCCCGATATGTCTCCGCGTCCTATGCGTGCCTAGTAGAATATTTGGTTTACGTTTGTCGACTAGGTGTTCTTTTATACGGGCGCAGAGTGGTCTACCCGTTTCGCCAACGTATTCGTCCTCGCACGCCTTACAGGTGATTAGATAAGCTGTGCCAGAGCTCACGCAATCACCGTTTTTATCATTAGAGCAAATTATGCAATTTTGCGTTTCACATAGACGGTCATATAGGCGGTTACGAACTAGCTGGCGTGTTAGATTACTCGCTGGCTTTTCAATTATCGTTACCAAATTCTGTAGACCCGCCCTTAAAGAGCGTTTTACAACTGTACTTACTTCATTTGAAAATAGGGGCAGTATAAACGGGATCTTATTGCCGCTATAATTATCGTTGGGGGCCTGTGGTTTCCTCTACACCTGTTCAGGGCTACAGTTTCGTAGCCATTAATGGCCATTTGACGCGCCAATTTCCGGGAGTCCTCTCTCTGCTCCCTTCCTGTGCACACGCTAGTAGCTGTTCAAAACATGTTTCTCACAAGCGTCCTTTTCGTGTGAGGGGTGAGAGAAGAGGTAGTGAACCAAGATGTTTTTACTAGTTGGTTTTCGATACTATTTCGTAATGTAGCCGTTTTCTGATAGGTTAATTTGCACATTCAGAAATGTAAGCCAGTTTTCTTTTGGTTTATCTCGGGTGAATTTAATATACTCTGACTGTTCACTTAAGAATTCAAAGCATCTGTCAATTTCTTGTGTTGTGTTGGAGAAATGACGCGCTCAAGTTCTCATCTAGTGCTGAACTATTGTGCGATGAATTTTGGTTACATAATGTAACATATGGGGTGCGTGTTGCGCAGTGGTCGCAGGAGCCGTGCAATACATACGGGATCGATTCCCACGCCTCTGGCTTCACCAAGCCTTCCATCCCACCGGGATCGGCAAATTGGTACAAAACTTGTCTGGGACGATGGCAGCACTGGCTCGATACATCGGTAGGCGACTACGAGTCATTGTAAAAGCCAGATATGAATTCAAACACCTCCAAACGATGCTTGGTGAAGTCGAATGCATGGCGCATCCACCAGGGATAGATCAACGCCGAGAGCTTCATTCGTCTTTTTTCAATGTAACGTATGAGGTCGTCCAACTTATTTGAAGCAATTGCCCCATTCTTTCACAGCGTCCATCAGACTGTTCTTTTCTTTTGTTTATCAGGATAACCAGACATCGGAAGGATCAAATCAAGACTTGGCCTCACTCATGTCTCAATTGAAAAGCCTATGAGCACGCAGGGAAACTTTTCAGCTTTTTTTTTACGAAGAAGTATGGTAAATTTTCGTTTTGGAGAGCAGTGTAGTACAATGTTGTGTTTGCTTTTATTGTTCTCATATGGATAGAAATTGTGTTTACATTTGTATGTCCAGACTTTGTGGTTTCCTTGTTATGTTCGACATTTGTTATGGAATTATTAATTTTTTGTGGGTAAATTATTCATATCACAATGGATGAAATTCGTGAACCCGTTAAAGTATGATCTCATGACTTACGATAATATTTACAGTAACAAGAAAGAATAGTGAAGATACATAACATACATCGAAGAAATGTACGACAGATCCTCCCATTCATTTTCTATGCTTGAACTAGATATCACCCAGGTTTTAGTTAGGGCTAGGCTTGTTAACTTTCCAACCAAATATTTTTCATAGAGCAGTCGGAAGCATTAGTGCCATCAGAAGATAGGTAGTCAATAAGCCGACATTAACAGCATCTGGTAACGAGAATTCTCATGAGATCAGTTGTTTGACAAGGTCATCTTGTAGATTTGGAACTAGTACTAGTATTGAGGAAACACTATACACAAGATCAGAACCTTGCCCATTAGAATGACGCCAAGTGTGCTACCATGGACGCTACAATGGCCTACCAAGACTACGTAGAAGCTCACATGAAGAATATCATGTGTTTGTTCAGTTGTGAGGTAAGGGGTAGACTAAGCCACTTACAAATCAAATTTGGACGAAGGGCCAAGTTTGATGTCCTGTGATTCGGCCCTCATACAGAGAAATTCACCAAGAAGCGTGCACACCACAACGCTGGCTATTTGTACTCCCCACCAAAGTGGTTGGGTAGGTAATGCGTGGTTGTAAATTACAACAAAGAGGAAATGAAATGCGTGGATAGTACAGGAGAAATCCAAGCACTGTTTGGATCGTTGTACAACAACTGTCAGTGCGAAACCACATGATAAACTTGCCAGTAACTGCACAACCACCATGGTACGAAGGACCTAAAAGGCTACAGTAGGTAACCCGTTATAGGATACATGAAATCCAAAGGGAATTGTCAAGTATAGAAAACCGAAAATAGAAGTAGGAGTAATACCTGTAAAGCGAAGATATGTGCCAGAGTTGGCACAAAACCATTCAGGCTAAGCGCAAGAAGGACAATACATTCTGTCGCGTAGAAAACTGTCTGCATACAAACCATTTGACTAATGAGCAGCAACGGATCCCATACAGAAGATCGGAAGGAAGTCATACTGAGAAGGCAATGAAATGAATAGACTACTCTCGAAATTACTCTAGTATCGATAGGCTCATAAAATATCTAACCCTCGTTTCCTTCAAGCACTCTGCACACGATGTGAACGACTAGTAGAGTATCGTATACCTTGTTTTCCTGGAATTATAAACGAGGTTTGATCAGTTTGCAAAAATGTTCATCAAAAATTTGCAGAAAAAGTGTCCGTAGAATATTTAAGGCATAATAATCTTCATCGTCCCAGCGATTTACCGCCTCATCGTAGGTCGTAATGTTTCTGCATGTTAGGCTGCGTTGTACAGCGGGGGAATTCATCCTATAGCAAGACCTCCCTAACTAAGAAGCCCAACGTTTCCATCACGAAGCCCAGCTAGGAGTGAACCAATACCAAGATCCGCCACCGTCCTGGTATCAAAGACGCATGGTGGCAAATCTCCCCCTGATCCACAAGGGCGGCGACTGCTTATGGTGGTGACAACCTGAGGCAGACTTTGGCTAGGTCGATCTCGGGACTCCACGGAACCATAACGGCTAAGCCAGCTAAACTCCGAAGAAATGGAAATTGTGCTGGGGCCCGCACAAGCAGTGAAGACGGGCGGTCCTAGTATCCAAGTAAGTAATACGCTTAATATGAATAAAGGCCTGTATGTAAAGTACTTATTACTGATCTAGCGCCGAATTTACGGACCTCGAGTCATTTAGCAGCAAAAATCTCAGGCAGATGATTGAAACTGCATGATTGGTTGCTGAAAAGTCGCGTAGTGATTCGCAGCAGTAGTTCCTCTATTTCAAACCATGAGGATCCCAAGCAATAGTTTAAGCATTTAACTATGCAAAGCTAACAAATAACGTGTGACAACTGAAAAGCAAAGAAGAAGCTTACCAAAGAAGTTCACTCGCGACAATGACGTTTTAGAGCTCGAGGTTTGCAATAGTCCGCGTTCTATCGTCTGGAGTGCGGTTTCTGTGAATAAAAAACGGTTAAGTGTTATCTCTGGTGTTTTTCGTTAATCTTTTCGTTTTTTCTTACTTCTTCTTTTTCTTTTCTTTTTCTAGTCACGCTTTTATGCTGTTTTAAGAGATGCCGAAACAAACAAAGGATAACCCGATTGTTGGAACGAAACGTACGATTGTCGATCGTGAGAAGAAGAAACCTTATGAACCTCAGGATGCTCTGGACAATAAGAAGGCGCTTCGAGAGATTAAAGTAGTTGCTAAACACAATAGAGAGTCAGATGAGTACGAGTACGACTCGTCAGATGAGGAAGTACGTTACATTGTGTTTAGTTCGTGGTATTGTAGACCGTAACATTATCAAGTTCTTTGATCCTTAAATATTCCCCAGATCCACATTGAATTTCCAGGATCTTCGGAATACTATCGGGAATATTCCAATCAGTTGGTATGACGACGAAACTCATATTGGTTACAATCAAATGGGCGAGAAGATCGAGAAGCCTAAAAAGAAGACGGAAATCGACACGTTTCTTGAGAAAATGGAGGATCCTGACTATTGGTTAGTCTCAGTTGAAGTGCCTATTTTTCTCAGTCTTTCTAGAAGGACGTGAATTATGTTGGTACCTTTTGGTTAAGGTTTTGATTTGTCGCTGTCAAGCATATTTGGGTACCTGGATAGATGGATGGCCCGTCTTCACTGGTTGTGCGGGCCCCAGCACATTCTTCATTTTTCGGAGTTTTGCTAGTTTAACCATTGTGGTTTTCTGGAATCCCGAGGTCAGCCTGGCCAAAGTCTGTTCCAGGTCTTCTCCACCACAGGCAGTCTTAGCACTTGTGGATCAGAGGGAGAATTGCCACCATGTGACTTTGATACCAGGACGGTGGCGAATCCTGGTATTGGTTTACGCTTAACTGGGTTTTCTGATGGAACTGCTCAGTTCGGGAGACCCTGCTGGCGGGATAAATCCTTCGATGTACATTGCAGTGCTGCACCCAGCAACACTTCCTAGCTACGATGAGGAGGTGAAGCACACAATAGTCATAGAACTTGTTTCGAAATATCCTAACTCTTATAAGGCCGCTGTCATTCGAAACCTTCGGCTAGTCACTTATGCCAATAGAGTTGTTAAGTGTTATTTTTTCACTACTTTTAGTCGACCAGTGAAGAGAATTGCCGTACCTATGATAGGTGGCAGGGGCGCGTGTGGCGAAGTGGTTGGAGGCGCCCTGAAACACACGTGGAATTAACCCCGGCGCTCATGGCCCACCAAACCTTCCATCTCTCCGGGATCGGCAAATTGGTACCAGACTTGTCTAGGAGGATAGTAGCACTGATTTGATACATCGGTAGGCCACAGCGAGTCATTGTAAAGGCCAGACATGCATTCAACACCTCCAGACAGTGCTTAATGAAGTAGAGTGCATAGCGCATCCTTCAGGGTTTGATCAACGCCGAGAGCTTTATACTTTATCCTTTTTTAAATGATAGGTTACTTGGGCTTCTTTACTTGGAAACTAACTTTTGGGTAATGTGGTGGTTCTATTAATGCCTTATCGTATCAGCTTCAGAGTATGCAGATTTCAGGCGAAAAGTGTTTGATAGACAGTCTGGAACTGATGTTCAACTAACTGACGAACAGGCACGTATTATTTTGTTCTTTTTTTTCAGTGACGAAGGAAGTAATTTTAGCAGTTGGGTTTCCTTAAGGCAATAGTGATGGGCTATGTTAAGCTAGGTATCCTGTTTTTCAATGGTCATATAAGTTAGTAAAGCAATGTACTTTATACATCTATGCAAGTATAATTGGTCACTCAATGTCTGTTCTCGTGGTCGATTTTAGGAATTATAAACTAGTTATAAACCCGTGTTTTGTTTCAGGTCGAGAAGCTTAACAATATAGCTTCAGGGAAGTATCCAGTGGTTGGTTATAATCCATATGAACCGTTTCTGGATTTATTTTCGTCTGAAAAAAGTATTCACCCCATCGATAATAGGTCCGTCCAATGATTACTTTCTTTTTTTCTGGGTTTTTCTTTTTGAATTTGCTTTCACTCAGAGCCATTTACAGACCGCCACCCAAAGCGAGGTTTATTCCATCAAGAGACGAGATGCGTATTGTAAGCCGTATGGTTCATTCCATCAAGATGGGTTGGTCTAAAGGACCTAAGCAAAAGGAAGAGAAGAAGGCAATAGTTTTTTTAGCTTCGTACTGTGATGCTTTATGCTTGGTTATAAAAACGTTATTTCTTCAGGTATACGATCTCTGGGCAGCGGAAAATTTGATTGATCATAAAACAAAGAGTGAACTGGCACGCATGCGTATGCATATGCCAGCTCCTAAAGTAGGTTTAAGATCATTTTATGTGATGTGATATCTATTGGGGTAACGTGTAGCGCAGTGGTTAGAGGCGCCCTGCAACACAAATAGGGTCGATCGCGGGGTCCAGACTCACCAAACCCTCCATCTGTCCAGTGTCGGCAAATTCGTATCGTACCTGTCTGGGAGGATAGCAGCACTTACTCGATGCACCGGTGGGTCAGCTCGAGTTAGTTTGTAGGCCAGGTATGCCTTTTATCACCTCCAACGATGCTTAACAAAGTCAAAAGCATGGAGCATTCGTCAAGGATTGATCAGTGCCGAGAGCTTTATCCTTTTTTTGTGTATAGTATCAGTTGAAGGTCTGGTGTACGGCGTTAAGATGAAGGTTAGAAATGAATAACTTAAATGTTAGCGATTTACAGTCATTTGCAGATGCCTCTACCAACTCACGCCGAATCATATAATCCACCGGAAGAATATCTGTTTGATGAAGATGAGAAACGGAAGTCGGTATTTGTCAGTATTTCAGCATAATTCTGCGTGTTTTAGTCAATGCGAAAAGCCTAGTAATTAAGGGGGTTTAGTCTTATTTTGGGAATTTCATTGTGGCTTTTTGGTTTATGTGTTTTTATTAAAGATGGGAGCAGGCAGAACCAGAAGACCGGAGTATTCCATTCATGCCACGGAAATATCATTCCTTGCGAAAGGTATGTCACTATGTTGAGCATTCTTTTTCGCAAATTGTCTAGATTAGAGTCAAAGGTGTATTATTACAGGTTCCTCAATATGACAAATTCATAACCGAGCGTTTTGAACGTTGCCTCGATCTCTATCTAGCTCCACGAAAGATAAAAATGAAGGTCACTACAGAAATGTTTCCCAATCTTCACTATTTTCCCTCCAAATATCTCACCTTCTCACGTGCTTCTGTACGACTTTTAACTTTTCTTTCTCTTCATAACTGTCATATTTAGTTACAAGTAGATCCATCCGATCTTCTACCTGATTTGCCTAATCCTAATGATTTAAGGCCGTTCCCTACAACACTTGCATTTGTAAGTTTCTACTCACTGTTTTTTGTTTTTCCTGAATTGTTTAGTTCTTCGTATTATTATTTGAGGTGTTTACAAATGCTTTTTTTTGACTTTTTTTCATTTCTTCAGTACATGCATGGACATATTGGTCAAGTGAGATCTATAAGTGTCGAACCTGATTACGGTGAGCTGTTAGCTTCTGGTGGAGAAGATGGCACCGTTCGAATATGGATGATCGGGGCTGGGAGATGTTTGAAGGTCTATTTTCTGTTTTTATCCTTAATATTTAGACTACGAGAGCTGCTCTGAGTATCCTCAAGATATTTCTCTTTATTGCTTTAGAATTTTTTTGTTATTTTGCATAGTGCAAAAAATCTTGAATGTCGTTCTTATTAACTTAGACGTACAAAGTGGGTGGACCAGTAACCTGCGTGGCTTTCTGTCCAGTTAGTAGCAAAACACTGGTGGTAGTAGCTTATGAGGGACGGCAAGTAAGTCTCCTAGATTTATGGATTTCCCTAATATTTCTGTAATCCTGGAAGTGATTTTCAGATTTCTATTTTTAATACAAATTGTGGAGATAAACTGATATGCGCACAAACGGAGAAATTTATTTTTGAGGTTGGTTTGACTAGAAAATACTAAACGTGGATCATTCCGGGTTGTTTATTTAAGTGATAATTTGAAGGTCCCGGTTGAACAATCTGAGGGTAAAGTTAATTGGCGGCGTATCAAGGACAGAATTGTTCTGGAAATGCCAAATGTCAGTTCGGACTTTGTTTATATTTTTAAAGAGTGTCATAGTTTGTATAAATCTGTATATCGCTCTTGACTTTTGCGGATTTTGTCATCCAGGAAGTTCGTCAAGTGGTTTGGCATAGCAAAGGTGACTATTTGGCATCCGTTGCTGTTGACGATATTGCTTCTTCAGTGTACATACATCAGATGAGTAAAGCCAAATCACAGGTGATTTCTATCTATTTGTGTTTTCATTGCTGTTCGTTTATACTATGGAGTGAGTGCTTCACCTTTACATTAGACATTGCACCTCCGCTTTAGTGTCCATTCACCAAACGAAAGGGCCACGTTCAAAGTGTAGCATTCCATCCATCTTCCCCAAGATTCTTGGTTGCTACAAAAATTCACGTTAGGTTGGTTGGAACTTATGGTTAACTCAGCATTTAAGAATTTAAGGTAGAGCAAACTTGACATGTGTTTGAATCACGGTTTTTCGGAGTCATTATTGGTGGTTGAATCATTGTTTGAGTTACCACTTACTCTGAAACTGTGGCGATCGCTGGTCCACCGACGTTTGTTTTTTAAGCACATATCTATTCACATGTTATCTGAGATTGAAGAAAAAGTGCGAATTTGCTTAGTGCGTCATGGCACAAATGTTTTCTGGTTCTTATTTCGATTGCCTCGATCTGAAAGAATTCCCGAATAACCACTTATTGGACATATTCCAGAGGTGGATAGTACAGCGGTAGTGATGTCGATCATCACGAGCACAGTGATGATTCGATTCCGCTCCAGGTGCACAAAGTCTCTAATCCCTCCGCGGTCAGGAAATTGGTACCGGACTTTTCTGGGAAAAAGTTCTCCCTTTGCCACCGAAGAAGGAATACTCTAGCTCGGCGAACTCACGACTCCAGAGAGATTCAACTTGACCGGCATTTGACGACATATGTGACGAAGATGGACAAGCCTTTTAATATCCGAAGATGCCCGCAAAAGAGTTTGAAGAGCTTCGGAAATGGTAGATGAGAGAAAACGAATCGAATGTGAGAAGTGCTGTGATCCGCAGAGTTGACGTGGAGATAGATCGTATAAAATAAAAAAATAATGATTCCACTGCGATAACATTGTGACAGCATTGTCTGTAACTTCATATCTTGGTATGCTTCAGAGTTTATGACTTGGCACGATGTCAACTCGTGAAAAAGTGTATAACAGGTATCAAACACATTAGCTCTATGGTTCCGGATGTTCAAGGAGAGGTGATTGCTACGAGATTATGTTCTCCACCTTTATCTTATTACCCATTTTTCTGTTGAAATTCAATATGTTTTTTAAAGAATCTCTTCGTTGGAGGTCTTGATCGTAAATTTGTATGGCTAGATTTACAACTCTCCACAAAACCTTGGAAGAACTTTAAGCATCACAATTCTGCTATTAGAGGAGTAGCATATCACAAGAGGTAATAGCTATATTTCTGTTTCTACACATATTGAAGTGTTTATGATTGAGTGTTAAACAATGACGAAAAAAACAACAAATCATGTTTTCAAATGGTTGTTTTTGTTTACATTCGTAAATAGGCTGTTTTAATGGAAGAGACGAATTTGTTATGAGATATAAAGTAGTACATGTCAACTTGCAGTTTGTGTAAATTCCTCGATTTTCGTTGAGGTAACACAACTAATTCTCTTTGTGAGACTTTTTTCAATGAACCCTCATTTTTCAATTTTCGTTTCGGCAGAATAGAACAACTAGGAGTTAAGAGTAGGAAGAAAATCGGTAACATCATGCAGTAGGGTGGATTTCGTTTTTCATATAGTGTATTCAATATGAAAAATTGAATAAAACCTTGTTTTAAAGTAGGCGTGAATGTTGAGAATAACAAAAACCTAGACTACCACATTAAAGAATTGTTTTGGGTACATTAATTCAAATATCCGACTATAATTTAGATATCCCCTTCTGGCCACAATATCTGATGATGGTACAGCAATGGTTTACTATGCTAGAGTGCATGTCGATTCTTTCAAAGATAATGAGATCTATCCTGTGAAACGTCTTAGGGCTCATAAGATGGTAAGGTTTCATTCTCATTGTTGTGGAAACTAGACTTGATTCGTAGAGTTCAGTTTTTCCAGTGCAAGTATAATGATTTTTGATGTTATTTTTTACTCATTCTCTAAAGTTTCGACGCTTCCTCAAATATATGCATATATGTATATGTATATAAAAAAGGACGCGTGTAGCACAGTGGTAGGACGCGCCACCACGACGCACAGGTGGAATCGATCCCGGCGCCCATGGCCCACCAAGCCATCCACCCCTCCGGAGTCGGCAAATTGCTACCAGAGTTATCTGGGAAGATGGTAGCACTAACTCTATTCATCGATAGCCCACCGCGAGTCATTGTAAAAACCAAATATGCGTTCAGTCACCTCCAATGATATCTAATAAAGTCGAATGCACGGCGCATTCCTCAGGATTGATCAACGCCGAGAGCTTTATCTTTTTATCATTTATATAAAAACGTTGGTCTCGGCGTTAATTAATCCCTGGGAGATGCGCCATGCATCCAACTTCATTAAGCATCGTATGGAGGTGATTGAACGCATATCTGGCCTTTACAATGACTCGCGGTTCCATATCGGTGTATGGAGCCAGTGCTGCGGCAAGGGTGTGGGAGTCGATCCTGTGTGTATTGCAGAGCACCTTCAACCACTGGGCTACATGCGCCTTTTATAAGTATATATACATATATTCATATATATATATTCATGCATGTATATGTATATATATATATATATATATATCGGGTTTAAAAATTAACCAGTAATGACACCACCTAGACAGAAAATAAGATAAAAGGAACGAAAAATAAAAAAATCAGTAAAGGAATAGACGGAAGTGTTGGTTAACTTGATATTTGTCATGGCTACCTTTCCATAATGTTGGTGAAGAACGCAGCCACGAAACCATATGCTTATTTTGGGAACACATTAGTGTGGAAATGCAGCATCATGTCTGGTTTGTGTGTGTCCATTAGAAACTAAGGTTCTGGTTTCATCAGCTTCTCAACGCTCCCTCTGTTGCGCGTGGGAACGGCTAAACTCGGCTATCTCCAAAAGTGCAAGGAGAATCGACTCACAAGCATTCTACAACATTCATAAAGAAGAAGAAATACTGGAGCAGCAGCCGAAGCAACACGCCTAATGTTCGGAGATCACTGTGGAAGTTGTATTCAAGGAAGAACTGAATGCAAGAAGTGGTGGGATGCGCACAGTACGTGTGATGGTGGGTAGTGTGAAAAAAGCAGTAGATATATGTATATATCTAAGCATATATATGCATTCGTATATGCATATATATATATATATATATGTATATATCACGGACCTTCCTCATAGACATCTCATGCCGGCTAGACGCGAGACAAGGAGTTGCATCTCCAGGTGACAGATACCTCTTACCTAACGGTTAATTGCTGACCAAAAGCGACCTTATGCTTCTCTGAAACCAGGTCGATCCAGAGGATGGACTCCTTGTTTCTGCTTCGCCGATGTGGGATATACCTTTTCATGGGTGCGTGACTGTGTTCTGTTTATGTGGCTTGTATTCTATGAGTCAGTTTGGCCAAAAGTCGTTGAGCCATCAAGTGACTAGGAAGGATAAGGAAGGCAGTTAGGATTTGCTTCCAACAAACAGGCTGAGTATACCCGGCCTATCAGCAAATTGTACGTGGGTATCAAATTCTAGGGACGCATGTGGCACAGTGATCGGAGGCGCCCTGCCACACGTGGAATTGATCCTCGCGCCGGTGGCCCACCAGGTCTTCCATTCCCAAAGGTCGGCAAATTGGTACCAGACTTGTCTGGAAGGATAGCAGTACTGGCTCGATACATCGGTAGGCGACCGCGAGTTATTGTAAAGGCCAGATATGGCTTTACAAGATATAAAATCACCTCCAAGCGATGTTTAATGAAGTCGAATGCATGTTGCATCTCTCAGGTAATTATCAACGCCGAGAGCTTTATCCTTTTTTATCAAACACTAAACAGTAGAATAAGTTGGCCTTATCCCCTAACTCCAAAAGAGACTCCGATACGGGGCGTTGAGTAGGACGGGTATTGAGAGGCTGCTAAAATCTGAGGGCCCTAGAAGACTGCGTAAATATTAGACTAAAATGACGATCTATACCTACAACGTACACACACTTGCATCTAAGTCCTCGATAGAGGACTTAATCATGCAGGCAAAAAGGATAAACTACGACGTTATTGGACTGGCCCAAAAGAGAAAACGCCTTCATTCAACTCCATCTGTGACACCGGAGAAGAACTGTTCCATTGTACATGGGACAATAGAAGTGCTGGCCTTTCCGCCAACACGAGTTTGGCCATGAACATCGATTCATTGAGGAAATTTGCAGCAACAGTCGGACGTTTACGGTTGAAGAGGTGTGGAAGAATAACGACTTTGACAGTTTCTGTTGCTTACACATCATCAAGCTGTGGCGAAGATGAAGTCGAAGCGTTTTATACGCACTTTGAGAAGTTCTGAAGAGAAAGCTATATATTCTTCCAAGTCGTCAAGATGTCAATGCTAAGAATGGACTGAGAGCGACGTCTGAAGAACGTCACATTGTGACCCACAGATTTAGATGGAACGAGCACAATGAGTTGCTTTCTGAGTTCATCAGGACGACCAAGACCATCCATGGTAATTCGCAATTCCAGAAACCCTACTCTCAACGTTGGAGCTGGAATTCTCCCAGTGGTCAGTGCTATAACGAAATACAAGATAAAAGGATAAATGGATAAAACTCTCGGCGTTGATCAATCTCTGAGAGATGCACCATGGATTCGACTTCATTAAGCATCGTTTGGAGGTGATTGAATGCATATCTGGCCTTTACTATGACTCGCGGTGGCCCACCGATATATCGAGCCAGTGCTGCTATCCTCCCATAAAAGCCTGGTACCAATTTGCTGACCCCGGAAGGATGGAAGGTTTGGTGGGCCATGGGCGCTGGGATCGATTCCACGTGTGGGTTCGAGGGCGCCTCCGACCACTGCGCTACACGAAATACAGGATATTATAATGAATCGAAGATTTTGCCTAAGCAATGTTAAAGTTGACTCAAATTCTGCGCAGGATCAGACCATCGCCTTCGTGCAAGATTCCATTTCTCGTGGTAGGGCGAAAAAGCCGCGAAATTGTTGACGCAAAATCACCATGAATTGGGATTCATTCAATTCACTAGTTCGGTGTTTGTAAGATGCCGTTCTCGATAACATCGATGAGGAATATTAAGAACTCACTCAACTTCTTCACGAAAGCTAAGAGTTCGAAAGTCACCATAAGGCGTCTGCCTCCGGAAATACTTAACCGGTACGGCAGCGTTGAATCGCACAAGCTACAGGCTACCACCAATTCACGTCCGCACTTGTAAAAGAATGCAGACAAGGAATAAAAGAAGATCTTATGGAGAGAAGAGCAGCAGTTATGGTCGAAGGTACAGAGACTGAGGAAAAGCTTTCTTTCGCAAAGTCTACGAAAGCTTTGCTGTTTACAGAACCAACGTAATGGTATTCCAACGCAGATTCAGAACAGTTACAGCTTCCACGCGAGCAATACAGAAAACGATTTACGATTACTACTTGGACGTCTTCGGTAGCCACATCCTGCCGTATGTCATTTGGCTGGTTCTCCATTCCGTAATCTGATTTGTTGTTCTATCCGTAGTGAATCGAGCAACACCGGGTCTGGACAGGATAAATCTTAACACCTGAAGAACCTTCCGTAAGTAGTCATAAGCACCCAGACCCGGCTCTCCACACTACTTGTCGGAATGCAAGGTTCCTATTTAATCGAAGGCCAGCAAGTACTATTGCCTAGTTTGCTTACTGTCTGTCATCTGCAAACGTTTCACTTCAGTCATCCTACATAGGATTAACGGAACACAGGACGAAGGACAGCCATGTGAACAAGCAGAGTTTCGAAAAGGTTCAGCACAGTAGATCATATTCGCACGATAACAAGACTCATTACAGCATCGCGAAAGTACAAGAGGTCTTACTTTCCATCTAGGAAAGCTCCTGACTCAATTGAGATAGAAGCAGTCATGGAAGTCCTGGTTAGCCAAAGCGTTTCTATTCGGTATGGTCAGATGGGATGATGAATAGTAACCGACTTTGACAACGCGTGTGGAAAGATTTTAAAAAGGCAAAGACAATTTCGCAGAAACAATGTTCATTAGGAACGGATTGGTTTCATACGCGCCATTCACGCTAGGAGGAATTAATATCTCCGAATGCTCTAGCAGCATCTATCTTGGTGGGGAAGTGAACATGAAACAAATTAACACCAGAGTTGAGCAGAAGAAAACGAGCGGATTGTGGAGCTCTCAAAAGCATCGAGATTGTAGTGTGGAGAACAAAGAACATCCGAGGCTTTGCCTGCCTGTACAACTTCACTATTATTTCTGCCTCAACGTATGCTTTGGAGGCTTTGCGTAAGCAGGATGATTGATTAATCAACCTTATGGAACGCATAGTCGAACGGAAGGTGCCAGGACTATCCCGTATCACGCAACTGAGTGAAGGTATTCGAAGCTCCGATCTACATCAACGGTCTAAAATCAAAGACGGTCTGTACGCCAAATTGTCGAAGATAAATTGGGCCTGACACGTATTGCGCATGAATGACCTATCCAAGTATCCAAGTAAGTGGATTTGCATCATTTGACTACTTTTATATCTGAGCAGTAGCAATTCCTGGCAATAGTTCACTACTAGCTAGTCTTCTGGATGTAAGAGTTAAGCTGTTTAGCTTGGAATACCATGATGAGGGAAACTCTTTACTCCATATTATTGTTCATTGCTCAGAAATCCCAGTCATCAAGCCATGATGAGGCGGTAAATCATTTGAATGAAGACACTAACATTACTCTCGTTATAAATGCATCGTTTTCTTTCTCAGCAATCGCGAGGTTGTTAAACAGCGTACGTTTACTTCCATACAATAACAGACGTACAACACAATCGTAGCTGACAGTATTGCCTTCTTCAGATCCTGGAAAGGCACAGTGATATGCAATTTACTACGTCAAA